AGGGGTGAGAAAGTTGGTGAAATCCGCAAGGTGGTTCAAGACTTCTGTCTGTATATCGAGATGTCCCATATGGCGGGGAAGGGGTGAGAAAGTTGGTGAAATTAACAAGGTGGTTCAAGACTAGCCAGTGTATTGAGTTGATAGAAACTTGCAAACCTATGCAATTTTTTAAAATCAAAATAAAATAATTCTTACATACCTTGTGAATTTGTAAACTTAAACCTGCGTTGATAAAATGAAAGTAATGGAATATATTAATTTGGATTATCAAAACGTTAACATTTACTTTAGATGGACTACTTTATCCATAGAGCAGTGATTGTTCTACAGTATTTGACACTCGATGTTGCGTAGAAGTAGAAAAAGAAAGAATCAAATATATGAGCTATAGTTTGAAAGATATGCGAACCTTCAAACCACTTCATTTTCTTAATGCTCTTCTTTAAAATGTTTAATAATGAGGGTGCAAAAAAAAGCCCATTTAAATAGTTTTGTAGTAAGCAAATTAAAAAGAGATTGCCCCCCCCCCCCCCCCTTGATTATTTTCTAAGTAAGACATACTAAAGATATATTCAGCAATAAAAAGGAATTTGTTAAAAAGTTACAATATAAATAAAATAAAAAACAAGAATAAAACGAACAAGTGAAACCATTACTGGTATCAACTTTCTTGTTCCATATTCTTTTGACCGACTTGTTAGATATGAAGTTCACTATTCATAATTTTTCGGCGGACATAACATGAGATAAAAACAATTTTATAATCGATTACATCTGGCCCGAAATAAGTTTGCGGTTATGTTTGTTGTCTCACGATGGATATTTATCTATTTTGCAAAAAATATGTTAGATTACTAACTTAGGAAATAATTTAATTATATATATATATATATATATATATATATATATATATATATATATATATATATATATATATATATATATATATATATATTGCGTGGGGCCTTTTTGTGTAGTTCCGTAACTGTGCTTTACACGATGTTGTCTTCAACAGTCATTTTTCAATTAGCTGAGTTCGCTTTTACAATTTGTTATCGTTTTTATATTATTCGTAACACCATTCAGATATTTCTTATACCTACCAATAACGGTTTTGTAATTGTAAGATTATTTATTCTCATCATTTATATAGCTTTAATCAAGTGGAAATTCTATTTTTCTCTCATTTTTAAGCATATATCTGTAATTCCAAGATTAGCATTATACAAACAAAACATGTAAATGGACACCAGCGAGAAAAGTCTCAAAGGTATTTGAGAGGTGTATAAATTCATTTAAAAATCATGCACAGCGTAGTTACAATTAATATGGTTATAAAATCCTGTCTATCTGGTTTTTTTCGGACTTTACTAAAGATTGGATGTATTTGATGTTTATAATATTTTCGGTAACTAAATACAAATTTTAAAAAAAAGCAAAAACAATTTGGTTTTCACGTGTAATGGCGACATAAACAATGGCATCCTGCTATTGGATAGGCCGCCATTGATTTTATTGTACACATTGTAAGCTAAAAATAGAAAACTAGGTCATGGGGTTTTAAATGTGCATAGTTATTTAAAAACTTGATCTGCAAAGTTTTGTAAACAAATAGTTATCGATCACTAAGTTACTGTACAGCCAATCAATATTTGTCTTACGAAAGTGAAACATCCGGTTATAACTTAGGCTTGATGAAAATAAATAGAAATGTAGCCTTAAACTCAACAAATTATTTTCAAGTTCTCTGGATTTGCAACTTTTATAACATTTATTCTAAAAATATAAAATTTCTAAATTAATTTTAGGCTTAAGTTTTTATTTTTTATTTTTTTTTTACGGTCTAAATCTAAAAAGCACGTTTTTATTCCATGTCGACAACATTGGGGACGGAATCTCGTCAACTCGCTCGCCTCCATTCACACCTCTGATTATCTGCCTTATATTTTACACTACTACACAATTACCTAAACATTTTTTTTACACTGAATATTTATGGACTCGCCATGGGTTCAATACCTGGTGTATGTTGTGAACACGAGATGGAGCAATACAAATGGTAAATATTTGAACGCCTGTGAAACGGAGAGAGAACATATGGACCTTAAGATAATGGACCACAATCATAAGGTTGTCTTGCTGATACGCAAGGGTGAAGACTTTAAAAAATTTCTCCAATCGGTCGTTTTTTTTTAGATTCAGTTAGGTTTATTCAGTAGAGACTCACCAACATGACAACTCTATTAATTAACTGAATATGTGATAAAAAACCCAACTACCTGCTCAAGGTTGCAGCTCAGTGTCCGGAACTCTTAAATTTGTCTCCCCTTAATCTTGTTTGTAGAGGACTAAAATTTATGGACCACTAAATTACTATATATGATTGTATAAGTCATGCTATGTTGATTTATGCTCATACTTGCAGTCTTTCACTTCAGCCTTACAATTACACCAGCTTTACATACACACACACTTATATATATATATATATATATATATATATATATATATATATATATATATATATATATATATATATATATATATATATATATATATATATAATATTCCTCAAGATGTTGGTTAAAACTCCGACGCCATCCATTGTTCAGATTCCACCAACCACAAGGACGATTTAAGCTCAAACCTCTCCACAACTTAGTTTTAAGCTCCCACACCCAAACATCTAAGATTTAAGCTCCCACCTCCAACAACTATATTTAAGCTCCCACCCCATAGACCTAAGATTTGAGATCCTACCCCGAGACACCTAACATTTAATCTCCCACCTCCAGACACCTAAAATTTAAGCTCCCACCTCCAACAACTATATTTAAGCTCCCATCTCCAGAAACCTAAGATTTGAGATTCCACCCCAGACACCTAAGATTTAAGCTCCCATCCCCTTACAACTTTGGCTCAAGCTCCTTCCTCCAACAATAAGTAGCAGGTGTTTGTTGTAGCTGCCCGATGAACGCCTCCAAGAACACCTGCACCATCGACAGAAATTAGATGCCATATCCAGAAACTCAAGCAGATTTGAGAGCGGTAATCAGGGGCAGTGGAAACATAACTGACGAGTAGCACAAAGGTATGGGATATCCTCATCTTGCACACATTCAAGTTATGGTTTTATAGTAAAGGGCTATGGGATTAATTTATTTTTTAGAGTGTGAATACATAAAAATACAGAAAGATGAAAAAATGTTGAATGTATCGGCGTAAGTTGTTTGTGTGTGTGGGCAGGGGGGGGGGGGCTGGGTGGGAAGGGGGTGATTAGGAAAGGAAGGACATTAAAACAACGTTTTCTGCAGGTGTTTTGGTCTCTATAGCTTGGCTACATTTAATAACTGGATTATTGGTCAATCCTGACTGACACTTCGAGAGTTTGGTTAACGATGAATGCTCTCAATACATTTATTGTTAGTGTTAAGAATAGGACTAAATCTAGTTCTTGGTTATAAATCTAGTTCTTATGGTATTATTTGGACCGCCTCTTCTTAAAATATGAAGGTAAATATTACATGAACAAAAACCTCTCACTAAATATAAATGAAGGGGACGGCGTGACCTAGCGGTAGAGAGCTAGGCTGCAAAACCGCAAGTCTCGAGTTCGAATCCGGGTTGAAGTTAGTAGACCGTCCCTGAGTCCACCCAGCTCTGATGGGTACCTAACTCACGTTATGGAAAACAAAGGCGGCTAAGCATAATGCTGACCATACTATCCCTTTATATGCCGAGGTCCTTGAAACATATGAACTCTACTTCATCTGCCCTATGTGTCTTGGGCACAAATAGGAAAGGTGATGATGAAATATAAATGAAAGTATTTCTGTGTGTGTGTGTGTGTGTGCCTGTGGGTCTTTTATGCATTACTACGATCTGTCCAATCGCGCGTGTGTGTGTGTATGCATGTGGGTCTTTTATGCATTACTACACGATCTGTCCAATCGCTATGAAACTATGGGAAGTTGTTGAGAACACTCCTAGGAAAGTCTCTGCGATGAATAATAAAATGTATGAGGGCGGCGTACCGACAGTAGATTTGGCTCCTACGACTTGTTGATTGGGCATCCTGCACAGGGTCAGTGGTACTGCTTGATTCAATGGTCTAACTGTAACAGGCGTCCCGACGATCGTGTTACCCAGTGTATCCCGGCCTCTCCCAAGGCTTTATGGTGCCTACATTCATTTTAAATAGCTCCTTACATAGGGACATGGTGGGCTACTGAAATCGGTAATTAAATCGTCGTATACCCAGGCGGGCTATGACGTCTGTTTGTTTTAAAGAGCGCCATACGCTATGGGTACAATGGATGTGCTAAAACACTCGTTAACTAAATCTAACAGGCGCATCCGCCGGTGCTCCGTATACTCCGTATATGATGAAGTACTGAGGTGTAAAACGATGAAAACTGTCAAATTTTCATGTGATTTTTATGCACGACTACAATACTTCCTCTATACTCTATATATACACGAGAAAGTAAAAATACTGTGAGAATTTTTTTATAAACAAGGGAAGCAACAGAATAAATTATTTAGAATTAAAAAATCTTTATTACTTACCATTATTTTAATTTGTTTTGTTACTCTTTGTATATTTTCACATATTAATGAGCTTGCACAAATTAAATGACACAAAAAGTACACAATAAGCTTTCCCAGTCTTAGCTAACATATAGATCTAGATTCTAGATCTAGATTCTCTAGATATGGGGTCTGTATACTGTATATTAGTATATTAGATTTGTCTGTTTTAGAAAATTAATTAATTGTTGAAAAATCTAAATCTAGACATACAATGCCCATTTCCAATATTTTTAAAAATTACATTTAAAGATGTTGGGCTAATATTTCACGTCTAACATTAAGACTGATCTAGATCTAGATTTAGATCTAAGATTTTAAAAAATTGAATTAAAATGAATAAAGAAGTCGAACTTTTTATTTTTTTACATCCTTGTTGATAAACATCCGGGAGTAAGTAGATCTAAATGAAAATACCGTTTATTCTGACTTTTCTCTATCTTAAGACTTAATCGTAGATGTCGATTTCTAGAATCTAGATTAGATCTAGATCTAGATCTAGATCTAGAATCTAGATCTCTAGGCCCAGATCCAAATTCTAGATAGATTCTATAATACAGTAAGTTAGTATTTAGTATTTAGGGCCTACTGTTAGTAATTTAGTTAACTAATAATTTATAATAACTAGAGTAGATCTAGTAAACTACCAATGTCCAATAATCTTAATCTAACACTCCCCTTTCTATTAATTTTAAGTTTTAAGTAGTTCAGTAGTCAGAATAGTACATAGAAAATTACAAAGTTAAAATATTTTGAATATGGCATAGGCTAGGCCCTAGGCCTAGTTTATTTTATAATTTTAGTTTAGTAGACTCTAACTCTAAGTATTACCAAATCCAACAATAGAATCTTCGGAAAATAAGTAGTAAGTACTAAGTAGGCACCTAATAAGCCTAATAAATTGGTGTTCAGTTGATTTAGTTGATTATTCTAGGCTGCGCTGCACTCAATTGCTTAATTAAATTGAGATTTTTTTTTTATTAGGCCTATTGTTTTGAGCTTATATTTAACTGAACTCAATGTAACAAGCCAGCAGGTTGATTGAGTCCAGGCAGGGGGTTAGCTCTGCTAAGGATACAAAGGCTCGACTCGAAATATCGTACAAGTTTGCATAATGATGATAATGTACCCTTAATATTGATAAATAAAACATTTAATATGATTATTAATCCTTAGTGCTACAACGTCATCTTAATCTTCTGAATGACAGTGTCCATGTCTAAAGAGAGCGGGACGATTAAATGGACAAAGACAACTCAACCCGTCAAAATAGACATGTTTCTATTGCTGCAGGTAAATAAATTCAAGTTGTTCTATACAAACTATTCTAACTTGGTCAATTAAAAGCAATAAGCCTCCATACCATTTAGACTTAGTTATGTATTTAGACTTTTTTGGGGGGTTGAAATGTATGTGTAAGAGGCCTGAGGACTAATTTAAAAGAGTAACAACAGCTCATATTAGGCATAAACTCCCCCCCCCCCCCATTCCATTTCGCTGTTACCATCACCAAGTTGTTTTGATGTATACAATTCAATTAGAACAAGACATCTTCACGATATAAAAGTGATAGAACAAATGCATCCATTTCTATTGTTATTTACAACTATTTATCCTCAAAGTAAACCAATCATAGAGGGAAAAGTTTTAAGGTTTAATATATTTATATGCAGGAGGAGTGTGTGTGTGGTGGGTGTGTTTTAAGGATTGGATAAAACTATAACATTGCTACTTATTTATTTTCTGTAGTTATAACTCCATCATGAAATAAAAATTAGTTGCACACAATTGAGAAAAATATTATAATTTAATTTCCTTTCTGTTTATAAAAGCTAAATAACTTAAACATTTATAATGGAATTTGGCTGGGAATTTTTCCCTAATGGTATGAATCATGTGTAACATACCTTAAACTTATCCAAATAATTAAACATTATATACATTTTTCTTCAATGTGTATGTTTCATATTTTGTCAATTAGAGGAAGTAGACAGCAAATTTTATGAAAACAGTGATGTGTATGTTCCATATTTTGTCAGACAGAAAATTTTATGAAAACGGTGATGTGTATGTTCCATATTTTGTCAGACAGCAAATTTTATGAAAACGGTGATGGTGATGACCAAGATGTCCAGCTGCGCCATAGAAACGGTATAGTCACAGAATCACCAGTGAGCCATAGAACTGTTGAAGGACATAACTCAACCATGGAGGAAAATATGGAAGTGTATGATCAAAACCTCTCAGACTTACTGCAACAGTTGCCAAGTCGGCAATTAGGTTTGTTGGTCTTAACAAATCAACAATATGACTTGTTTTTGTACAGAAATAAGTACTTTTAAGGACATTACTATGTTTTATCTAAAATAATTATTTATTTAAAAGCTAAACTGTGTTCTTGTATTGAAATGGATCAGGAAGAATAATAACAGCTATGTTAAAGAATTTATTTAGTGTCTTTTTACTATTTTGAGTATTGGTCTTAAATATTGAGGGCTATTACACTGAATTAAAACTGTTATGCATTATAACTTTTATGTATAGATGTTATAGCTATAATTTTTATGAATAGAACATGTAACTAGCTGTAACATTTCTGAACAGAGGATGTGGCTGACATGGCAGCCAGAACCCTACTGAGAAAGAGAGGCACACACTTGCTGAGAACAAGCATGAGAATCAACACTGACAACGCCCTTGAGGACCGCATTGTTGAGAGCCTGGAGCAGGAGAGTTCTGAGGACCTGGCTGATGACATTGATGCTGCTGTCAGGAACATCCCCACAACTCTAACTAAGAAAAGAAGCATCAAGTCAGTTTGATCAAATTTTACTTTTTTCAGTATTTAACCTAAGTAACTATTTATATTTCCATTGAAGGAATTTTTAAACTTTTGGACATGCATTATGATTACATTTTTAATTGCTCTAATTTGGTTTATTTAAATAATTTGAGAGGTTGCAGTGTTAAAAAAAGGGCACAGTGTACCTTAACATTTTGTTAGATGTTTTGTATTGCCAGCAGCGCAGGAGCACAACTGCCGTTCTCTCTGTTTACAGACACAGGTTGTCCATCAAAGCTAGTCGTCCACTGTCCAGGTGGAAACTGATCAAGTACACAGCAAGCCTGGTACAATCTTTTTGGTTGTTTCTTCTCTCACTTCTTGGGGTAACAAGTAATAGGGGGGGGGGGGGAGATGTAAGTAACTAAGTATAATTGCAGTCTCCTTTAGATATGCAGTAAAAAACCTCACAATATCACTTTTTGTTTCTAGTGCTGAGTTATTTCCATTCTATAGCCTGATTATGTTTTATTTTACTTTTTGAAAATTACATGCTACATTTGAGCATTGCTGGCATTAGATCTCTGGCCTTTGGGAAACTACTACAGTGTATTTAAGTTTGCCACTTTTAAACTTGCAGACCTGGAGACACGTGAAATTTGAAATGAAGAAAATCCATCGTTTGTTTGACCTGTGGCGCTCCCATCTCCTGGTCATTGAGGGCTGTTTTGGCACCAGCGTCGCCTCCTACTTCATCTTCCTCAAGTGGGTGCTCCTCATCAACATCCCCATCTTCCTGCTGACCTTCACCTTTCTAGTCATCCCCCAGATTCTCTACAGCCATTATGTGGACAAGCACAGCTCTGAGCTGAGGAAACCCTTCACTGGCGTGGAGCTGCTTACTGGGACTGTAAGTCTCCTCTTGGCTTTTTAGTGGTGCTTAAACTTTAAGGCTTAATTCGTTTTATTATGTGATTTTCCTTTTGGGAATCACGTCTGAGTTTGGTGATGATGTATCATGTTAGGGTTTAAAGGATGTTGAGTAGCATATACTTCATATTCAAAGAAAAACATTCTTTTCATTTCAAATGATAGTTAAATTAAAAAAAAACTTTTAATTAAATTGTCAATATTTACAAAATTATCTTGTCAAAACAACAGTGATGACTTATTTTAGAATGTGGTTATTTTAGAAAAGTGGTTAACTTAGAAAAGGTTAACTTATTGCAAATTTCCTGCACTTACAGGGTGCCTTTGAAAATTCAGAAATGTACTATGGCTTCTACACCAACATGACAATAGAAATCAGCAAGGGAGCTAACTACAATATGAAATATGCTTATATTTTAACCACAGGGGGCTACTATCTCTTCTGTCTGATCATCCTGGGCTACAGGTATTGTACATATTTACTTCCTATGCTTTAAGTTGTTTACTCACTAAATTATGTTAAGAATTTTAGATGCCTTTGGTGTAATTTCACAACAATATTGAAACCAGGCCATAAATAGGATCTTATTGAACTGTGAAAGATGGATATGATGTTCTAACCTTGATTTGAAACAAGTTTACATTATCAATATGTCAGCTATATCTGAAAACTGGTTTATATTTAAATCTTATCCATCATATGTCATATAGATTTACATGTCAATATTTTAGTTATCTGAGGTCATACAGATTTACATATCAATATTTCAGTTATCTGAAGTCATACAGATTAACATGTCAATATGTCAGTTATCTGAGGTCATACAGATTTACATGTCAATATGTCATACAGATTTACATGTCAATATTTCAGTTATCTGAGGTCATACAGATTTACATGTCAATATGTCATACAGATTTACATGTCAATATTTCAGTTATCTGAGGTCATACAGATTTACATGTCAATATGTCATACAGATTTACATGTCATTATTTCAGTTATCTGAGGTCATACAGATTGTACTACATAGAAGCCAGTGGCAGTACCAGCATGTACTACTTTAACTTGATCTACACTGGCTGGGACTATGGTATCACATCAGTTGAGACTGGCCAGCTCAAACAAAGAAGTATTTATAATGAGATCAAGGTTGGCATCAGTCTTGTTTTATTTTGTTCTTTTCTTTATATTTGTTTTCACTCAAGCCTCATGAAGCTTAAACATTAAGAAAATAGTTAACGCCTAAGGTAATATTTACACTTGACAGGATGTCTTTGTGAGCTTGTAAAATAGTTTTTTGAACTACTTGTATGTCCTAAGTGAACGCAGTCATGTAGTAGCACAGTTGTATATTTTTCCAGGAGTTTCTTGCTGGGAAATCCTTCAATTCTTTTATTAAAGAAGACATGGTGACGACGTGGCTGAAGCGCCTCCTGTCCTGGTTGTTTGTGTGCTGTCTGCTGGCCCTGAGTGGTTACACCACCTTCGTTGTTTCCACCGAGCTGTCTCTCACGTCTGAGAGATCCAACTCTGTAAGTAGGTCATACCCCGGCAGATCCAATGATGTAAGTAGGTCATGTCTGGCAGATCCAACTCTGTAAGTAGGTCATACCCCAGCAGATCCAACTCTGTAAGTAGGTCATACCCCGGGAGATCCAACTCTGTAAGTAGGTCACACATGACACATCCAACACACTAAGTAACTTATGTCGTATAGATCAAACTGTAATGAATAAAAATTACATTTTATTTTATAATAATTATCTCGAATCCAGAGTCACATGATAAAAATTGTAAAGTAAAAGTGCATGCCTACAAAAACCATATCAGATGTAACTTAGTTCCATTTAGTTTTTGTTTAACCCTTTACCGGCCAGGGCATCAAAACTACTTCCCCAATGGGCGGGCAAAAAGATGATGCATTTGTCAACCACAGCATTTAAAAAAAAAATAACCATATAAAATGAAAAGCATTATACACAAAATTGGTCTGTTTATTATGTAAGAGGTTCACTAGCATAATAGTTTACTATTAATAAATAAAAATAGCACTAATTCCAGAAAAACGTAAACAATATTGTTCTTATAAAAAATCTATTTTAAATGCTAAGATAGAATAAGCTATGCAGCTACTTTCTTTTTTAATAGTTACATTATAACTAAAGTCTGATTCAACAGCAGAGGCATTTTAATTAGATTTAATTTCACTAATTACATTGCCCATAATTTAAAAAAAAATTAATTGTAGAAAATGAATTACTGGGATAGAATAACAAAAAAACCCAACGTAAATAAAACATGTTATTTCCCGCGTCCACTAGCAGGAAAAAATTCCTTTCTTCAAATAACCTTTTCTGATGGTGCTCTGTTTTTCAGACTTCCATTCCAGCTCTTCGACCCCTAGCCATGCCGGTTGTCTTATCATCCATCCAACTTTTTGTCCCAATGATATTTACATTCCTGGAGGGAAAGGAAAACTACCAGTTACCAAAATATGAGCTCTATATTCATATGTTTAGGTGAGTAAAGTTGTAAAAATATCAATAAGATTTGTCTTGTTTATTGTGTTTTTAATAAATTTAAATCTTATTTAATACACTGTTTACATTTCAGATTATTATAAATTGAAACATACATGTTTGAATGCATGTAATAAAAAACAGTAATATCAATAAAAATATTAATATGATCCTACTAAACTTAAATTTTTTTTTAATTATTTAACAGAGAGAAGATACTGAGAGTCCCCAAGCTGTGTCCTGTAATTGTTTTGTTTGTTAATGTCCAACTTTTTAATCCTCCCACAGAGAGATGGCACTGAAAGCCACCAAGCTGTGTCCTGTAATTGTTTTGTTAATGTCCAACTTTTTAATCCTCCCACAGAGAGATGGCACTGAAAGCCACCAAGCTGTGTCCTGTAATTGTTTTGTTAATGTCCAACTTTTTAATCCTCCCACAGAGAGATGGCACTGAAAGCCACCATGCTGTGTCCTGTAATTGTTTTGTTTGTTAATGTCCAACTTTTTAATCCTCCCACAGAGAGATGACACTAAAAGCCACCATTCTGTGTCCTGTAATTGTTTTGTTTGTTAATGTCCAACTTTTTAATCCTCCCACAGAGAGATGGCACTGAAAGCCACCATGCTGTGTCCTGTAATTGTTTTGTTTGTTAATGTCCAACTCTTTAATCCTCCCACAGAGAGATGGCACTGAAAGCCACCATGCTGTGTCCTGTAATTGTTTTGTTTGTTAATGTCCAACTTTTTAATCCTCCCACAGAGAGATGGCACTGAAAGCCACCAAGCTGTGTCCTGTAATTGTTTTGTTTGTTAATGTCCAACTTTTTAATCCTCCCACAGAGAGATGACACTGAAAGCCACCAAGCTGTGTCCTGTAATTGTTTTGTTTGTTAATGTCCAACTTTTTAATCCTCCCACAGAGAGATGGCATTGAAAGCCACCAAGCTGTGTCCTGTAATTGTTTTGTTTGTTAATGTCCAACTTTTTAATCCTCCCACAGAGAGATGACACTGAAAGCCACCAAGCTGTGTCCTGTAATTGTTTTGTTAATGTCCAACTTTTTAATCCTCCCACAGAGAGATGGCACTGAAAGCCACCAAGCTGTGTCCTGTAATTGTTTTGTTTGTTAATGTCCAACTTTTTAATCCTCCCACAGAGAGATGACACTGAAAGCCACCATGCTGTGTCCTGTAATTGTTTTGTTTGTTAATGTCCAACTTTTTAATCCTCCCACAGAGAGATGGCACTGAAAGCCACCATGCTGTGTCCTGTAATTGTTTTGTTTGTTAATGTCCAACTTTTTAATCCTCCCACAGAGAGGTGGCACTGAAAGCCACCATGCTGTGTCCTGTAATTGTTTTGTTAATGTCCAACTTTTTAATCCTCCCACAGAGAGATGGCACTGAAAGCCACCATGCTGTGTCCTGTAATTGTTTTGTTTGTTAATGTCCAACTTTTTAATCCTCCCACAGAGAGGTGGCACTGAAAGCCACCATGCTGTGTCCTGTAATTGTTTTGTTAATGTCCAACTTTTTAATCCTCCCACAGAGAGATGGCACTGAAAGCCACCATGCTGTGTCCTGTAATTGTTTTGTTTGTTAATGTCCAACTTTTTAATCCTCCCACAGAGAGATGGCACTGAAAGCCACCATGCTGTGTGTCCTTGTTTATTTCTGGCTGCAGGAGGCTTCTAAAGAATTAAAGGTACCTTATAAGCAAATATGCATAATGAAACATAGATTAACATCAGTGTGAGGGCTGTGAAGGGTTGTTGATTTTACTCACATTTATTTTCTCATCAATGTCCTGGTGCTGATTGCAATGGTTGGTGATTTAACTAACATTCTGTTTTCAGCTTGGAGGATTAAAAAACTACAAAGGATTGGTGATAAATTTGTTCAGTAACTTAAAATAATTGAAAGTTTATACACAATTGTTTCAAGTTTTCTTATTTTAAAACTTTTTTTGTATTTATATGATTGTGTTGTGTTTGACAATAATTTGTGCTTAATTTGAAGCATAGCGCAGGTGATTAAATTTGGAGGAAAGAGTTTATTTGACTGCTTTATTAATACTGTAGTAATAATAATAGCTTGATAAATTTAACTATTGTCAAGGCACCCTAAGAAAAGATATCTTTCTGAATTTCTTCAGATCCGGTGTTTTAACTATAGATTAAATATTAATTTTGTAAGAGTCTGAAATAGTATCCCTACTAAGAAAATACATTATTTAAAAAAAAATCTGTTCAAAATAAAAAATGTTGGCAATTAATATGGAAAAAATCAGGTCTTATAAAAAAAAGTGTACTAAATAGTTTATTAACTCCCTTTTTCAGTGTTGGGAGACATTTGTTGGTGAAGAAATCTACAGACTGGTTATTGTGGATTTTATCTTTAATATGGGCTATACTTTTTTCATGGAGTTTATACGAAAGTAAGTTTTCCTGTATTTTTTGGATGTTAATGTTATATTGCTTAAAGACTGATGACTTAAATTTTGAGTAGAACATAATTTTATTATCTCATTGATAGATTGATCAGTATGTTTATTAATATTTCAGGCTCATCTCATTGATAGATTGATCATTTTTTAAATCAATATTTCAGGCTTATCTCATTGATAGATTGATCATTTTTTAAATCAATATTTCAGGCTCATCTCATTGATAGATTGATCATTTTTTAAATCAATATTTCAGGCTCATCTCATTGATAGATTGATCATTTTTTAAATCAATATTTCAGGCTTATCTCATTGATAGATTGATCATTTTTTAAATCAATATTTCAAGCTTATCTCATTGATAGATTGATCATTGTAATGTGTTCATCAATATTTCAGGCTTATCTCATTGAAATGGGAGAGAATAAAAAAATCTGAGTTTGCCATTGGCCGGCACACGCTTGAGTTGGTCTACTCACAGACTCTATGTTGGTATGTTATGTAATGTAGCGCATGTAGATTTTTGGTATGTTGCAGTTACGTGATTTAGCACATGTATACTGGCGGCAGGGGTGTAGCCACTGTAAAGCTAGCATAAGCAAAGCATTGAGGCACAAGGAACATAGGTGGCCTTTTTCCTCTTTGAAAAGTAAAACTTTTCTTGGAATTTTAGTGGTTTTTAATACTACATTTTTAAAACAAAAAAATGGAATTCAACTTTTATTTTTCTGCTTTAGAAAAAATATAAAAAATCTGTAAAAGGTACCCACTCATTCCATAGTATACAGGCAGTGGCACCTAGAGGTTGCAGTTACGTGATGTAGCACATTTAGTGGCACCTAGAGGTGGATGGGATGGGACAAGGCCTAGTCTGCTGCACAGTCCTACCCGTATTAATAAAATGTCACGTATACTTGGGCAAGATGGTTACAAATCTAAATAAAAATGAGAATTTTTTTGAATATTGTGTTTGGTAAGTGGCATCACTAGGTCGGGTCTCACCCTGTGTGCTTACTGAGGGTATCACCCCACCTCCTCCAATAATTTTAGTTTGGTGTCTCCCCTCTCCCCCTAATATTTTATTTTTTGAACATGTTTTTGTTTTGACAGTAAATGTTACCATTTTCTGTCACTGAGTCACCCCCTGTGATGTTACTGCGTTTGGCCTTCAGTAATTTTTTTATCCAAAAATAGTGATATAAAATAAAAATTAACTAACGTTAATAATACAGTATTAGTGTACAATCAGGATGTAAAAAATACAAAATTAAATTTTAATTTTTTTTATTTAAAACTCCTCCCTCATAAGTAGTTGTCGAAGGGGCCCACTGATAATTTGTAGATAGCAGTTCCCTGACAGTGCGAAAGAACAATTGTTTCTGTGACCAGCTTTACACAATGACCAAAAACAAAATGTCCTAATTTTGTCTCCAGGCTTGGAGTGTTTTACAGCCCACTGCTGCCAGTTGTTGTCATATTGAAGCTGATTATTATATTTTATGTCAAAAGGGTAAGTTCATCTTGATACTCTCAGCTCTGCTACACTCTCAACTCTGTCTTATATAGAATATTTTAAAACATTGGAAATTTGAATTGCATAGTTTTTACAAGCTTTTATTTAACTCACTGTCTCTGTCGTCAGTGTGTCCTCAGTCTGTCTAGATCAAAACGCCTGAGCGAAACAATGGGCTCTTCTAATAGATTCGGTTCAAAGTAGGCACATCGGTCAAGTCATGAAGACAACGCAACATGACATTAAATTTAACTTAATTGGATGCCTAATTAATTTTTTATGAATTAATTGAAATTTTGTCCAAATTAGTAGGCTGTCTCATCCAACTATTCCGCACTATTATACACGCGTCATCACATTAATTAGGTGCGCAATGGTTTTTAGTCATACAACTCTTTTAAAAATTTAAAGTACTGAAAAAAAAATTCATAAAATACGTTTTAATAATAAGCTTTTATGTAATAATGCACTAAAAAGTAGAAAATAAATTATACATTACTATTTAAATAACTAACGCTTTTCTTTATAGTTATTTAAATAATAGTGTATAATTTATTTTCTCCTTTTTAGTGCATTATTACATAAAAGCTTGTTATTAAAACGTTTTTTATACATTTTTTATTTTTTATTTTATTTACAAACAGCTCTGTTGTCAAACAGTTTTTACATACCAAAATTTTACCACATAATCAGATGCATTTTATTTCCCAGTTTGGTTTGTAACAAATGTATTTTACATTCCAGTATAGTGTGGTTCATAACTGTAGTCCTTCTGTCAAGCCTTGGAAAGCATCAAGAACTCACACTATCTTTGTGGGATATTTGTTTGTCTTCTTCATCTTGTGCAGCGTGGCTGTAGGCTGTAGCATCTTTCTGTAAGTTGTGTGGCTGTGATTTGTGGTTGTGGCTGTGGACTGTAGTGTGTGGTTGTAGTGTGTGGCTGTGGACTGTAGTGTGTGGCTGTAGTGTGTGGCTGTGGACTGTAGTGTGTGGCTGTGGCCTGTAGTGTGTGGCTGTGGACTGTAGTGTGTGGCTGTGGACTGTAGTGTGTGGCTGTAGTGTGTGGCTGTGGACTGTAGTGTGTGGCTGTGGCCTGTAGTGTGTGGCTGTGGCCTGTAGTGTGTGGCTGTGGCCTGTAGTGTGTGCAGTGTGGCTGAATACTGAGTGCTTGTTTGATTTGTATTTTGATTGTCCCTATAGTGTGACACCGAGCCATACGTGTGGGCCTTACCAAAATTACTCCAGCTCGTACGAAGTTATCAACAGTCTCATCACCAATTGGGAGGACGAGAGCAGTGTCATTAAAGAAATTTTCAACTTTGTTGACTCTCCAGGTTTTATAGCTGGTCTTTTGATCTTTTTGCTGTAAGTTTCATTTGGCTAAATACTATCATACTATAATCCCTATTCTTTTGGTAGGATGGTTTTCTACTATAACTTATACTTTTCTGCTTTGGTAGGATGGTTGTGTCCTACAATTTATACCCTATTCTATTTGTAGGATGGTTTTGTATTACGCCCGCACCATCAGCCTGAGCCACAAAGCTATGGTGGAACAATTCAAGCTACAGCTTATCTCAGTAAGTGTTGGTTTGTTTGGGTTCGGTTATTTGTCATGTATGTATCATACTGTTATATTCTAGCCACTGTAACTGCATTTCTTTAGTCATGTGGTTTTTGACTATATTTTCCCAACAATTGAACTGAAATCAGGAAGGTAAAGACAAGAAGTTCCTCATCAACCTGCTCAACCAGGTGAAAATTCGTGGGCGAAAAAGTGGGATCAACCACCCAGGGCCGCTGCTGCAGAAGAAAATAGAATTATTGGAAACTCACTCAAACCTGAGTTCTCTCACCCCTGATTCAGGTGAGCTGTCATAGCGTATGGTCACACCCACATCATAGTGTGATGTCACACCCACATCATAGTGTGATGTCACACCCACATCATAGTGTGATGTCACACCCACATCATAGTGTGATGTCACACCCACATCATAGTGTGATGTCACACCCACATCATAGTGTGATGTCACACCCACATCATAGTGTGATGTCACACCCACATCATAGTGTGATGTCACACCCACATCATAGTGTGATGTCACACCCACATCAAAGTGTGATGTCACACCCACATCATAGTGTGATGTCACACCCACATCATAGTGTGATGTCACACCCACATCATAGTGTGATGTCACACCCACATCATAGTGTGATGTCACACCCACATCATAGTGTGATGTCACACCCACATGAGGTTCACACTATAATTTTCATCAACCTTTTTTAACAATCTTAAAATCATATGTCGGATGACTGAGTGTAAACTTTTCAAGGGTTAATTCATTCTTACCATTGTCACTTCATTGAGCATTTTCTTAGCTGAGCTGTCCATACCCTTCAAAAATAGGTCTTCAACTTAACACCAGCTTAACCCAGATGCTTGAAATGTATATAATATAGCTGCTGATCTCATAAAGATTAATACATGGGAAGGGTTTCTACAGATTTTACATTACTATTTTATTATGCTTCCTCAGTTTATCAATTAGTTTATCATTTACTAAGAGAATTACCACACTCCTTAAAAATACAAGTTTCATGACTAATTATTGACTTAACATTTGTTTTTCAGTTCCAAGCTCAACTAAATTGGCAGGTAATTCTTTTAGTATTTTATTTGATGTACATTTTTTAAGTTTTAAATTTAGAGCCAGATAAGATTAATGTTTTATATTAACTCTTTTACATATTAAGAACTTGACATTTTATAAAATACTGCTGTATGTTAGCATAAATTGTGCTGCTAAAATGAAGAAAAATAAATCTCAATGTCTGATATGTATTGTAGGTAAATAATTTGAGTGGTGAGTATTAGTGCTGCTTGCTTAAGTTGATGTACATGATCTTGATGTTGACCGTACACTCTCTCTATATATTTAAAAAAAATATTACAGCCTCTGTGTATAATGATGACTTATTGTAAATGGGTTTTGATGTGTTTAACTCTACTCTGCTTAGTGTTTTAATTAATTATGATAATATTTCATTTGGTCTTATAATTCAATGGGATGACAGAATACCTGGTCATGGCTGCTGTTCTGTGTTGCCAGGTTGTAATTCAGCAAATCAGTCTGATCACTTTCCTGTCATGTCACTAAATGTTGAATATTTTACCCCTCATATCTCTAATGTTTCCTGTTTGTATTTATCACTTCTCTAATCAGTTTCCCCAAACTATGCTTGATCAACTTATGTGCATGAAGTTTGTAATTATTTAGTTATCCAACTCATTACAGCTATACATTTCAGTATTCATCAACGGTTACAATATTTGGTTTAATATGCAGAGACTTTAAGTATGTTTCAATAAATGGGGATATATTTAAAGAAAAATGTCAGTTTAAAACTGTTAATAACCATCTTTTACTAGTTGTGTTCTTTTTTTTTCAGGAAAAGTATTTGTCCGCACCGTGGCAGAGAACTATATGGGTGGCTCCTCAATGTTGTTGTAAACACATGTTCTGGTGACTTGAAAAATGTTTGGCAGAGAACTATATTGGTGACCCTAAATGTTATCACATGTTCTGGTGACTTGTTTGGCCACTAAATGTAATCACATTTTTCTGGTGACTTCAGATATTTATTAGTTAATATGTTTTTTAAAATTTCTTCTACTTGATAAGCAGACTACTTGTGAACATGCAATCAAATATTAACAATATATCTTACACTTGTTGGTGATAACGTACTTAAACATGGAGATTTATTGTCTTCATTCATCAGCCAAAGTTTACACAACTTGTGAGAATAGAATATTCTACATTTCTATTATTGTGTGTAGATTGTGTGTGCATTATTATATGTAGATTATATTATATTATTATTTGTAGATTTAATTCAACACAAGTAAACCTGATAAATTATTTTTCAAATATTTATCAAGATAATGTTGGCATGTTTGGTACAATTCAAAGGAATGTTAATTTAATTGATTTATTCACCCACAGTAGAAAGTAATTTTTTTTATATGTCAGAGAAATTACTGTCTGTATTCAAGTGTTATTTATAGCTTTAAAAAACTAAATTTATCAATATTTGAACACTGATCACTTGTTTAGATTTGACCAGTGCCCTGTCTTTCTCCCGTTTTGACTGTTCATTTGATCTGATGCAGGTTACAAGATTTGACCATGGTTATCTACTGTCTCTCTCCAGGTGACTCTCAATGATCTAATGAATGATCTTTTACTTTTCATTTATATTTACAAAGGAATCAAATTTTTATTTATTGTGATCATCAAATGTATTATTTATAGTTGTATAAATATTATTTATCTAATTGATTTTGTAATATGTAAAATGTAAACTGTTTTAATTTGGCTTGTGTATATTTTATTTATCTGGTAGCTTGTATCTTTCCAGCTACTTATAAAAATTGCCTCATCTTTCATTGTGCCTTCTCTTGCCTTAAACACTTTCTTCTACACAAAGTATTCTAATAAAATGTTGATTTGTTTAAAAACTTAAGTTTAAATTAAAGGGTTGCATTTCTTTTAGTGCCTTATGAGGAAATATCTTGTCTATTACAAATTAAACCTGTGTTCATTTTTATTAAAAAAAAAAACCCTTGTTTTTATTATTTCATTTTTTGAAGTAGCCTTAAACTTTAAAAAGAAAACAATCTGAAAATGTTCTGTAATACTTCAGCTAAACACCAAGAAGACTTGTTATATGTTACTTGTTACTATATTTAATCTGTAATCAAAAGCTGAGCTAAAAATAACAGTATGCATTTTTTACTTGATTGGTTTTTAATTGAGTTGTGATTCCAGCTGCCTAGTTGCAACAAGGGTTTTATGTGGTAGTATTATAATGGTTTATATCTTACTGTTACATATATTAAAACAAAAATATACTTTGAAAAGTTGTTTCAATTTTCTTGTTGGTACTGTGTTAAGTGTGTGCGACATTAGACTTATGATCATAGTGCATTGTCGCTAGAACATCAAATTAGGTCTAGAGTATTCTCATTCTAGTCTTCAGTGTACTTGACTTTTTTAAGTGTGAATATTTTTACAACAGAGTGGCTAATTGCAGTATGCAGGTACTAATAACTATCAAAAAGTTTTTTACTCATTTACAAATACAAAATAGCTGTAAAAATAATTATTGACCACTTGATGAAACATTTGACAAATTATTTCATGGAGGAAGGCATACATAATACACATATATAACAGACTGTGTACAATTTTAATGTGGTTGGTAATAAACACAAAATAACAAAAAAAAGGCACAATTTAATATGAGTATCAAGGTTTTAATTTCCCTGCAACAAAAAGTGTTTATCATTATCACAGATACAATATATTTATCTACACATGTAAAATTAACTTATTAAGACAGTTTTTAATCCCAATAATGGAACTCAATGATCCTTGACATTTACAACATGAACTTAGATATTGCTTAAGTTGTCAACTGATTTCAGATAGTACAATCATGTGCATAGCTACTATTTTCATGTTTCTCAAACTGAAAAGCCATTGGAAAACATTTTTAAAATTAATTTACATGTTCTCAATCCAGCTTGTATTGTGTAACAGGTATATGTTTTATTTTTATACCATTTCACTTCAGTTTACAGCATCAAGTAGGGAGGTGTATATCACGTAATAAATTTATTTATTTCATACCATCTCATTCCAGGTTACGCTAGTAAGCTTGGCATATTAACTTATTAAGGCACAAACATTTCAGATACCATAGATATTAGCCATCTAAACATTTCTGATACCATAGATATTAGCCATCTAAACATTTCTGATACCATAGATATTAGCCATCTACTGTCAGAAGTTCAACTAGCCTTTAATATGTTTGAATACAGAGTAAATATATTTTAAGATTTCTAGCTTAGAGCAGCACAGAACTGTTCAAATTCAAACAGCCAATAGCTGTGAGTTTAGTTTTTATCCACCTTCAATCAGTTCAAGCAAACTTGTTTTAATTTGTTTTGTTGTTTATTATACAGGTTCACTTTGCAGTAAAAAAAAAACTGTGTAAAAAGACCTTTTAAATTTGTTTTAATAAATGAAAAATCTCAAAAGAGGTCTTTATAATAAGTAAAATGATAACAAACATATGTTGAGAAGGAAGAGACTTTTAACAGCGGTTTAAAAGCCCTTTGAGCGGGGTCATTTGACTGGCTTTGAGGTTGAATGGGAAACACATTTTTTTATAAAGTTACAAAAATGTGTTTGAGTACAGCAGTATTGACCACACGTGCATACTTTAGTGAGGGATTCCTTTTTAAAAAGGTGACTGGTCCTGGACTGGACTACAAATACAGAAACATTGAGGGTTAATCATTCAGCCAACTGCAGTTACATTATAAATAAGTGGTACTAAAAATAACATGCTCTATAACAATTAATTTACTCAAAATAATTTCATATAGGTTGATACTGGTGTAAAATTAGCAGGAGAACAAAATATTAATGAATTTATGTTTAAATGTATAGAACAATAGGTATATAAAGACACCATGTTCAGCAGGGAGAATAAAATAGTGGAAAAAACAAAACTTCTGCATAGGAAATGGTTTCACAAAAAATAATTAAAATTTGTGCAATAATTTATATTCAATAAAGACATTAGGAAATGACATTAAATTATGACATTTCTGACATAAAACCATACAATCTCTGATAATATATTAAATTCTGGATATTACAAATTAAAATAGGTATTGAACATTTTAATACATCTTATTTAAAATTAAAACTTGTAGATTATTTTCTTTAGAATATTTCTTTGGGTTCACAACGTTTAAAGATTTGTAGCAGAAATTCGTCAACAAAATAAAACAGTCTCCCTGAGAGAGATTTCATGTACACTGTCAGCTGCTTTTAAAGCCTAGCTAGTAGCAATAAATTGTAAACAATTCATCTCATGTGAAAGACTGATAACGGCATTGAACTTCAGCTGTTTTACATGTCAACAGAATTGAGGCAGCATTCCAAAAGTAAGTTTCATGGATTTCAATTGTTATTTATTTTAAAATAAAATACCACATCATCTTCCTAGTAATGGACCTCTTGACAAAAATTTTATGGGTTCCATACAATAGTTACCAATTTTAAAAACTAATAAAAATACATAATCTTCCTAGTAATGGACCTCCTGACTCAGTCCGTGTATCACAGAGACTCCTTTGGCTTGGGTTCCTTGAGGGTGGTTAATATGCTAATCAGATGAAAATATGTCACATTATTGTAATGATGCTAAAATTGTGGTAAAACAAACGCTTCTTTTTATTCCAACAATAAACTTAAGAAAAAACCCTGATATTTTAATTATTTGAACAGTGTACTGTTTTATAGCATATTGTAAAATCGAGATACATTACAGACTTGCCTTAGTGATAGGTGCATTGTGAGTGTTAAGATATTGACTATGAGTGTTAGTATAATTAGGCAATACCAACAGCAGTAGTGCGCAATTATCCCTAGTAAAAACTTATGCACACAACATACGTTTGGGATTCCACTTTGCCATGAACCATAATACAAGTCCTATATTCCATACACACTTTTGGTAAATGTAGGTCAATACAGGCTCTTTAGGTTGAGCTCTCAAAAAGGTTTTTAAAAACTTGAAGAATTTTAGAAGTGCCATACAGAAAGACTTTTAGAAGTGCCACACAGAAAGAATTTTAGAAGTGCCATACAGCAAGACTTTTAGAGAAAGACTTTTAGAAGTGCCATACAGAAAGACTTTTAGAAGTGCCACACAGAAAGAATTTTAGAAGCGCCATACAGAAAGACTTTTAGAGAAAGACTTTTAGAAGTGCCATACAGAAAGACTTTTAGAAGTGCTACACAGAAAGAATTTTAGAAGTGCCATACAGAAAGACTTTTAGAAGTGCCAGACAGAAAGACTTTTAGCAGTGCCATACAGAAAGACTTTTAGAAGTGCCATGCAGAAAGACTTTTAGAAGTGCCATACAGAAAGACTTTTAGAAGTGCCATACAGAAAGACTTTTAGAAGTGCCATAGAGAAAGACTTTTAGAAGCGCCATACAGAAAGACTTTTAGAGAAAGACTTTTAGAAGTGCCATACAGAAAGACTTTTAGAAGTGCCATACAGAAAGACTTTTAGAAGTGCCATACAGAAAGACTTTTAGAAGTGCCATACAGAAAGACTTTTAGAAGTGCCATACAGAAAGACTTTTAGAAGTGCCATACAGAAAGACTTTTAGAAGTGCCATACAGAAAGACTTTTAGAAGTGCCATACAGAAAGACTTTTAGAAGTGCCATAGAGAAAGACTTTTAGAAGCGCCATACAGAAAGACTTTTAGAGAAAGACTTTTAGAAGTGCCATACAGAAAGACTTTTAGAAGTGCCATACAGAAAGACTTTTAGAAGTGCCATACAGAAAGACTTTTAGAAGTGCCATACAGAAAGACTTTTAGAAGTGCCATACAGAAAGACTTTTAGAAGTGCCATATAGAAAGACTTTTAGAAAATCCATACAGAAAGCCTTTAAGAAGTGTCATACAGAAAGACTTTTAGAAGTGCCATACAGAAAGACTTTTAGAAGTGCCATACAGAAATGATTTTAGAAGTGCCATACAGAAATGATTTTAGAAGTGCCATACAGAAATGATTTTAGAAGTGCCATACAGAAATGATTTTAGAAGTGCCATACAGAAATGATTGAGGCTCACCTTTCTAGATTTATCCCTCGTGTTCTCATTTTCATCTCCAGAACTTTCACTTCTTTTCTGTGATAAGAAAAAAGATTTATTTTACATTCACCATGTAACTTATTTAAAAATAAAAATCCTGTATGTAAGTACTGTCACCTAACAATTCTGTTACTTACATCCTTCCAATGTGGTGAACTGGAGACTGAACTAGAATCTTCTTCAATGGGAGGGAGGCTACTTCTGCAACATTAGGTTTTAGTTTCTAAAGTTGTATTACACAAGAAATTAACACATAGTAAATGATATTCTGGGGTAGTTGTAGTAAATAGTACATGGTACTTAGTTTATTTACAAGGCCTGTGATCATATACTGCAAAAATAGATACTTCAAAAGTTCAACTATAGAGAAACATGATGGATGTTTCAGTGTTTTTCTGATTGTAATGATGAAGAGAAATTATGATGTCATTCTTCTAATAGCAGTTACCCTGTTAACTGTCTGTGAATGTTTCAGTATTTTTCTGATTGTAATGATGAATAGAAATTATGATTTTATTCTTCTAATAGCAGTTACCCTGTTAACTGTCTGTGAATCTGAGCAAAAGTGCTCTTAGGGTTGGCCAGCTCTTTCATGCACACCCTCAAGAACTCAGCGCAGGCATCCTGGTGGTTGTCTTCTGCCAGCTTCAGGGCGGTGTGGCCGTTCTTATCCACGGCGTTCAGCTGGGCTCTGTTGGCCACCAACCACTTGACACACTCCAGGTGACCACTGCAGCAGAGATTATTTGATTAGGTCACAATACACTTTCTGTGCTGAAGGCCTTCAAAGTTTTGGTTTTAGTTCATCAAGGTGAAAGAATAAATGTTAGAATTACAAACCTTTTGGCAGCCAAATGTAATGTTGTTTGTTTTTCTTTAGTTAGATGTAAGATAGAGGATCCCATGGCTTGTAAAAGCTAAAAAAAAATGTGATGATAGTACTGTTTCAGAAAACACTAAGAATGTAAGTAAAAAGTATTTCAGATTAATAAAAAAAACTCAATTAAAAGTATTTCAGCTTAACAAACTGAACCTAAAAATGGCCATTTACCATCATACAGTTGACATAGCCATTAAGAGCAGCAATGTGCATGGCCATGTGGCCTGTGGGTGTTTCTGCATCAATCTCAGCATCACTGGTAACTAGCCAGCGCAGTGCCTCAATGTTGCCCCGCCCAGCGGCCAGATGGAGGGGTGTCCAGCCATTTTCATCTTTGAAGCTAAAACATAAGGACAATTATAAAATAAGACAACAGCAAGGATAATGGCAACACTAGTGGCTATCTAGGTGGGGTGGAATGGCCTAATGGTAGAGCTGATGACTGCTAGTCCAGGTCTCCAGTTTGTATCCTGGACCTTGGGAGTCTGTAGGACATCCCTGAGTCTACCCAGCTCTGATGGGTACCTGACTCATGTTAAGGGAACTAAGATGGCTGGGTCATCGTGCTGACCACACCAACTGAGGTAATTGAAACAGATAAACTCTACTTCAACTGCCCCACGTGTCTTGGGAAAAATGAGAAAAGATGATGATGAATGACTATCCATTACATTTTATTTTTAATCTAGCCAGCAGGCTTTATCCTAGCTTAGCTAGAAATCTCAGATACAAGCAACAAGGATTTTCAGCACAATGAACACATTCTATTTTTAGCTTACTCTTTCATCTCTGGGTACTGATGAAGCAAGTGTTTAACTCTCTCAAGGTCACCCGTCCGCACCGCTTCATGAATTCCCTTTCCGTGCATCATAGCGGCTTCCATAGCTCTCTCTCTGTCAATCTGTCTCTTCTTGTCTTCTTCAAATTTATTTCCCTGTAAAAAAAAAGAAAAGAAAAAAATATTTCCAGGTTTGTTTACATAAAAATGAACATAGCAGACATACTTTGTATAGAAGAGAAGAACAATAAATCATCAGATTCAATAAGCTTAAAGTAAATTAAATTAATGATACAAATAAAGAAACAACTTAAGAAACAAGCTCTAGACTGCAGATAAAATGTAAACTTACATCAAGATTATCTGTATCTCTGGATGATCTGGCCGTGTCTTTGGATGACCTAGCCGTGTCTCTGTAATCCTTGCCAGATTGTCCTTGACTGTCCATGTGGATTTCATCAACCTTTTGACCCCCTGGGCTGGTGTGGAGTGTGATAACTGGGCCCTTCACCTGTGGGGGCTGGTCGACATCTTGTCTGACAGGGGGTGCTGACTTCTGAAAGTAAACAGTCATCAAATGTTTTGTATTGTGCTGACTTCTGAAAGTTTATTTCATGTACACTGTCAGCTGCTTTTAAAACCTAGCTAGTAGCCATAAAATGGTGGTATACAGTATATCTAGAAACTAAAACCTCTGAAGAAATGAAATAAACATATCACACCTGCGCACTCCTCTTCTCCTTTCTCTTGTCCACCCTGTGAATGACCTGAGGTCCTGATGAACTGCTCCCTCCCTCACCATCAGATTCACTGGAACTTGTCTCACTCGAAGTTTTTGTCGGCTGTTTCTTTCTGACATTTTTACTTCTCTTCTGTTTTTCTACAGCAACCACATGATCAGAATCCTCGGAGGAATTCACCTGGTCTCTTGGTGTTGGCCCCAGTCTGTCATCCAAGGCTAGAAAATTATCACACAAACACAATAAGCTGTAATCAAGTAAAAACTTTTAGTTTCTCTACATAACACAAACACAATAAGCTGTAATCAAGTAAAAATATTTAGTTTCTCTACATAACACAAACACAATAAGCTGTAAGCGAGTAAAAACTTTTAGTTTCTCTACACATCACAATAAGCTGTAATCAGTGCCCTAGTCTATCACCCAAGGCTAGAAATGTATCACACAATAAGCTGTAATCAAGTAAAAACATTTAATTTCTCTACATAACACAAACACAATAAGCTGTAAGGAAGTAAAACCATGTAGTTTCTCAACATAACAGAAACACAATAAGCTGTAAGGAAGTAAAAGCATTTAGTTTCTCTACATGACACCATGTTCTAGGAGCTGTAAACAAAGCCTACCATCAATAAAGTCTCTCTCACGATCTGCCTGTAAGATCTTGTATGTCTTTTTGTCTCCATCCTGACCAGACAGCCACATCTCACAAGGGAATTGGAAGATTTGCTTGTTGTACATGTCGTAGATGGTCACTCCTTCCAGATACCAGGCAAAATCTAGAGCAGAGGTAGGTCAATACACGTTTAATATTTTAATTTAGTGCTAGCAATCTAGACCAGAAGTAGGTCAACACAAGTTTAATATTTAGTGCTAGCAATCTAGACCAGAAGTAGGTCAACACAAGTGTAATATTTAGTGCTAGCCATCTAGAAGTAGGTCAACACAAGTTTAATATTTAGCGCTAGCCATATAGAAGTAGGTCAACACAAGTTTAATATTTAGTGCTAGCAATATAGACCAGAAGTAGGTCAACACAAGTTTAATATTTAGTTAGTGCTATCCTCTACTAGTTTGAAAATATTTTTTTTAGTTAACAGACTTCAGTAGGGAAAACAAGAATTCTAAAGAAAATAAATGTATTAGTAAATAGAATAAAATCAATACAATTTAGATAATATTTAAGACTTGTTTTTTAAAATGATTTTCTGGATTAAAATCTTCAATAGATTGATCAGATATTCATTAAAAGAGAACAAGTTAACTAAGTTATCTTATATTTTGTAATGAAGAAGCATCCTTCAAAGTTACATTATCCACTGTAGCTTTGAAAATGTAGATACACATGGTATAATGTAATAGACAGATTTCATGACAAAAGACAATAAAATTATATGAGAAACAAGTAAATCCATTTGACTATTCAGGTACAAGAATTTATCATCCACTGTGTACTCACTCAACTCTGGTCTGTCATGTCCTATCTGTATTTGTTTTAGTCTATCAACATGGTATGTAGAAATTATAAACAAATCCTCCTGAATAAAATAGAATAAAAAATTTTATCTGTATATTTGTTTTAGTCTATCAACATGGTATGTAGAAATTATAAACAAATCCTCCTGAACAAAATTTAAAAGAAAAGTTTATCTGTATTTGTTTTAGTCTATCAACATGGTATGTAGAAATTATAAACAAATCCTCCTGAATAAAATTTAAAAAAAAAGTTTATCTGTATTTGTTTTAGTCAATCAACATGGTATGTAGAAATTATAAACAAATCCTCCTGAATAAAAAAGTTTATCTGTATATTTGTTTTAGTCTATCAACATGGTATGTAGAAATTATAAACAAATCCTCCTGAACAAAATTAAAAAAAAAAGTTTATCTGTATTTGTTTTAGTCTATCAACATGGTATGTAGAAATTATAAACAAATCCTCCTGAACAAAATTTAAAAAAAAAAGTTTATCTGTATTTGTTTTAGTCTATCAACATGGTATGTAGAAATTATAAACAAATCCTCCTGAACAAAATAGAATAAAAAAGTTTAATTACAAAAGAGACACATTTTTTGTCAAATTTCAATCTAATAGAAAAATAGTCTACATCAATACAGATTTTAACTTGATTAATTCAGCAAAAGTATGTGCTTTACATAGACAGCTGTTGATAAAAGCTAAGGCCTAAATAAGTTTTATTTTTTAGTCAGGGTGACAATGTTTTGTGATGAATGAAATGTTGGACGTACCTTGCCCTTTTGGAATGGAATTTTGTTGGTCTTTGATTTGGCCAAAACAAACTCTTTGGTTCTGCCTTTCTCCCCATACATAATCAACTTGATGGGAGCTTTGGTGCTTGCTCCCAAGCGATTCCCAGTGCGCACATGCACCTGGTACTCACATATGGGGCCATCTTGAATTTCTGACTGATTTGCAATTAAGATACCATTGTTATAATTTTTGCAATGAGTAATCTAAAAAGACAGTCACAGCACAGAAAAAAGACAGTTGCAGACTATTTTTAAATTCAACATGTGTAGTATTATTACAAATTAACCTATAAATTTAAAAAAAAAAAAAACTTATTTAACTTTTAAAATTTTCTATGCTGGCCATGATTTAGAACATGGATGGAGCATAAAACTTGCCAGATTTCATTTCATCTAGTAGCCTACTCAATGTTTTACTTTTTTTGTTATTTTTTATATTCCAAACATCATGTGCAAAAGCCATATGTCAAGTGGGCCAATGCAAGTAGCTACATATTGTATAACTTATTTGAGGTTAATCTAATTTATACTAGATCTAAATAAAATATTGCATGGAATTTTTAATTTAAATTAATACTCAACTAGATATATGAAATATTTAGATATTTATGCACTTACATTCTGAGCTTTATCTTGCCTATTCTTGTCAGCATGATTCTGTAATTCATTTTCATCTGTTGCAGTTTGAGTAGAATGAACAACCCCCACTTCTTCTTGCTGATTTACCTCTGGCAAATTGATGAAAGTCCTGGACAGAAACTTGGCTGATGGTGGTGGTGTGGAAGGTTTATCTTTTCTTTGTACTGTACTGCTGCTGGAACTATCACGACTATGTGCTGTACTGCTACCAGAACTATCTCTACTTCTTGCTGTACTGCTACCAGAACTATCTCTACTTCTTGCTGTTCTGCTTTGGGAGCTGGTTCTACTGCGCGAGCTCCTGCTGTGACTTACTGAAGAGTAAGTTGAGCTCGAGCTTTGAGAAGGTGTTGGAGAGTTTGGACGGAAAACTGGACTGTGCCTGACCACATGGATGCAATGTTTGTTACATTTTATTACAAGAAATTATGGAGCATAATTTTAAATTGCATGGAATTCTTCTTATCTATATCTATACTAAAATAGTTGAAATATTAACTTAAAGTAAAAACTGTAAACTGTTACCATTTTTATTTTATGTAAGTAACGTTAATTTATTTTTTAATAATGTGCTAATTATTCATTTACCTTTTTTTATTATGTGTATCATCATATGCCTGTAGACAACAAAAAAAAATTATTTGTTATTTAACTTTTTAATTGAAATATTTTTTCCCTCGAAACTTTTTGTGTCCTAAAAATTTGCCAACTTTTCTAATCATGAAAAGATGTGTAAAACATGTAACAATAAACACACATGAAAACTAATGAAGCTTGCATGTAATTAATGATATAAAAAGTCTGATAAAACTACAGATTAAATAGCAGCTCCTACATACCTTATATTTACTTGACTGACTTTTTTTGGTCTGATACTCATTAGGTAACTTGGCAGTAATTGATCTTTTAGAGCCATTCTTCTAAAAAAATAAAACCCAAATCTAAATGTGATTTTATTTTCATAATTTATTTTTGCAATTATTCTTAACAAATGAAATTAGAGGATGAAAACTTTAAAATACTTGTGAAAGAATAATTATGCTTGGAGTATTTTAAAAAAAAAGGTGTAGGCTAAAATCTCAGTTGAAATACTGCCATTAACTTGAATTAGTGGGACCTAGCTGAGTCTACCTTGTGAGTCTACCTATGTGAGTCTACCCAAATAAGACATTACTGTGGTTAAGCCAGTTTCATAAACTATTTTTATATAAATTAATTTACTTTATCATAAAAACTTAAAATGTTTATAAATATAAAGTTATGAAATCTAAAATAGTGAAAGTTACAAGATAATGAGTATTTATTTTCAGTACATTTAGAAAAATATTTGTTCTATAAAAACATAATTTTAAAATTCTTCTAGTAATAAATGAGTGTACAATTAATTACCTTGCGAACAATTGGCTCATATTGTAACAAAGAATAGTCCACAGCCCCAGGATAAAGGCCATAGTTACTCTAATAAAACCAAAATAATTGAATAAAAAATGAATAAAAAATCAAAAGCAAGCAAAGACTATTTAAGTTGTAGCCTATATAGTAAAAAATAGAGTAGCAAGTACAATTTTTATAGCTGGAAAGTTTGATCGAATTGGATGATAAATTAAATTTGATTTATTTATTTTGCTTTTGTGCTTTTGGTTATTTATAAATTCTATTACTTTACATAGCCAAAGTATAAAATTGAAGAAAATTTGTTCAGCAATGAGATTTCAAAATTACTTAGTCCAAAAAAGTTTTTGATTAAGAGATAATTAGGGCCTACATTTGGAATGATTAAAAACTGAAATTGCTCCCAGTTGCTCAAAGTATAGATATAAAAAAAAAACAAAATCAGGCTTAGCAACTGATAAAACAGCAATACAATTAGCAAATTCACTTTATACATATGCTTCAGAGTGAATAGTGATAAAAAATAAAAAAAATATTTTTGCTGCAATGGAGAAATAGCTGAGGTAGTTTTAAACAATCAAAAAACAAAAAGAAAGACATCACAAAAATTGATCACTAAGAGTGAATGTAGCGCAGGACAACGATGCATGCAGTGAGTGATAGTCTGAACTGGCCCAGCTGATTAAATTTCTAACAAGCTGCATGCTGTTGTACAATTATCTTTTAAAATACCTCAGAAACTTCAGATGGTAGCCTTAATCTTGAATGGTCAATGTTTTGAATAACTTCCTGTTAATTTACATGTTTTGCATTATTAACCAATCAATGTTTAAACACAAATGTAAACAAAACCCAGTGTAACAGAAAACCTCATGAGAAAGCTACTTACAGAAGCAGCTAAGATTTTTGTAGCAGAGTTGACCAGCCTGGTTGCTTCCCCTTTAGATATGTGTTGACTTGGGCGTGCTCTCAGTGTAGGCCAGCCTCCAATCAGGTTTCTTTGATTGTGTCAACAGATAGTCATTCAAAGTTTGATGGTTTAAAAGTATTACATTTATATTAGGCAGCTAGTCATTAATGTATGATGAAAAAAGTATTACATTTTTATATACAGATAGCTCTTTGATGTTTTAAAAGTATTACATGGATATTAAGCAGATGGGTTAAACTATATTCTAATGTTTTGACAGAATGTCAACAAAATAATATATGATTAAAAGGAAAAAAAAAGTATAATATCCCAATTAAAATTTTTTTTTACCTTTTTTTCTTTCTTCTATGAAGAATTCCCGAGGTTTCTGTAGGATGAGTACAGCCCTTAGATCTGTGGTAATGATAGCAGCTTGGTGGGGCACTTTTCTACCAAAATGTACAGGATATTTTTAGATTAGTTTTTGACGATGATTATCCAAGAAAGAGCAGGTTATACTATTATATCATAATATCTAATTTAGCAAACAACTTACAAACTCAAAATATATAAATCACATAAATATGTCTATCTTAATACATATTGGTGGCCAGAAGTTAATTTAGAGCAAGATATATTTCAGATAGGCCAACATATCTAATTTAGAGCAAGATATATTTCAGATACATATCTAATTTAGAGCAAGATATATTTCAGATACATATCTAATTTAGGGCAATATAGATTTCAGATACATATCTTAATTACACAACGAAAAAACCTAAGTCACTTCCAAATAATAATTATCTCAAGTTTCTGATTTCATAAAATTAAAATTTAACATTCGTATTATTTGAATACTATTATTATTTAAAACATTGTAAAATGACAAGAGCAGGCTGGTAAGAATTCTGAAAAAAAAAAAATCCCATGGCTAGTTGCTATCTATTTTCTAAAATGCTTTATATTAATTAAGTTGCTGTTCGTTAATTAAAAGTAAATTATTCTTACAACAACTTTTGTACATGTAAAGTGACAGAACATTGATTTCATTAGGTCTAGACATGAAATTAATTATGAAATGTTCTAGAAGAATGAATTAGAATTGTAGGTCTCTGTGTTTTAGCTTAGGTTAAAAACATAATGTTCTAACAGTAGTCTACTGCAAGCTTCAACATCAGTACATAAAGTTTTGTTCACTTTGGTTTTCTAATGTTTTCTAATTTCTTAATCTTGCAATAAAGTTTTGTTTACTTTGGTTTGCTAATCTCTAAATCTTGTAATACAAAATTAACTGAATTTTAATTAACCGATTTGGTCTAAAGTCAGAATGAACTATAAAAACTAAGAAGTAAAACAAGTTAAGACATCAGATTGTGCAGGTGCTGAAAACACACAGGTGCAATTAAAATGTAGAAAACACTTAGAAAACAAGTGTGAGGTATTAAATTGTGTATAACTAACTACACATTCATGATAGTTTCAGTAGTCAACAATTGTTAATTCAACAGCAAACTGACTATAGAAAGACTGTGTTAATTTTCAGACAGATCAGACATTCCATCGTTGTTTAATGGGGTAAAGGACAGCCTACACATATCACAGCACTCAAAATATTGTATACCTTTGAACTAAGTGGCTTTATTGAAGGCACTGCAGGAAAACCTTCTTCCTATATAGTCAAATGCATAAAAATGTCAGTGTAGCTTATCTACTACAAGGCAGCAATTTTTTATAAAAATTATTTTTTTTCAAAAGTAATTTAAGAGATTTGAAAGAAATTTTCAGGTAAGTTTTATGACATGGACTTAACTAGCATATATTATGTTTTTGAGGTAGAAGAGATTTAAAAAGTGACCATACCTGAAATGAATACTGTTTCATGTAACTGTCCAGCATCTTCCTGACCTGTTGCTCTCGTTTAGTGCTAAGATTTCCCTTAGCATTTTTCTACATTCAGAATTAAAGGTATTGAATATTTTTTTTTGGTTTTCTACATTCAAAACAAAATGTATTAAATTTGTTTTGAAATATTTTTTTGGTTTCCTACATTCAGAACAAAATGTATTAAATTTGTTTTAAATTATTATTTTTTTGGTTTCCTACATTCAGAATTAAATGTATTTAGATTATTTCTTGTTTGTATTAACTTTTTAGAGTAACAAATCAACTCAGCAGCTTCCCACCTTGCTTGTTTTTTTTATTTACAGCTGTACATGGGTTTGTGTGTCAAATTTGAGCAAGAATTCACAGCCCTACATTATAGGCATTAATGATGAGGTTTATTTACATTCTTGCCCTGCCCCACTAACAATAAAAGTTTGTGTTGCAGTAAATAGCACCAGCTTAAATAACAATTTTCTGTTTGAAAAATGCAAGGAAGAAAGTAAAGAGGGTGAAAGTATGGTTTGTCATGGTTGAGGTATAACAGGTAAATGATACAATCAGTAAAGTTTATGGCAGCTGTAGTTTTCTTGTTGGCTACCTTAGCATGAGGTTACGTTACATTGAGTCATCACAGAGACCAATTGAAACTTATTTTAGCTATTAGTTTAGGAGGTTGGAGTGACCATAGGGGGCTTTTGTGGCTAGTGATATGATGCTTATAACAGGACATGTGATGCTTATAACATGAGGGTTGTAGCAGGTAGGTCACATGATGGTAAAAGTAGGTAGGTTACATGATGGTTGTAACAGGTCACGTGATGGTATTGTAGATCAGGTGATGGTTATAGAAGGTCACATGGTATTATGGCATGTAGGTCACATGATGGTTATAGTAGGTCACATGATGGTTAGAGTAGGTCACATGATGGTTAGAGTAGGTCACATGATGGTTATAGCAGGTCATGCCATGTGATGATTATAGTAGGTCACATGAGGGTTGTAGCAGATAGGTCACGTGAGTTACAGCAGGTCACGTGATGGTTATAGCAGGTCACGTGATGGTTATAGCAGGTCACATGATGGTTATAGCAGGTCACATGATGGTTATAGCAGGTCACATGATGGTTATAGCAGGTCACATGATGGTTATAGTAGGTCACATGATGGTTATAGCAGGTCACATGATGGTTATATAGGTCACATGATGGTTATAGCAGGTCACATGATGGTTATATAGGTAACGTGATGGTTATAGCAGGTCACGTGATGGTTATAGTTATAGCGGGTAGATCACGTGAATGTTATAGCAGCTCACGTGATGGTTATGTTGAATGTTGATTATATATATCAGACTATGTTCCAGGTTATATAGCGGTGATGAGTTACAATAAAACACTGCTATACGTACAGAATTCAAATGCGTGAGTTGGATTCGAACTTCAGGCTCACTGAAGTAATGCTTGAGCGCTCTATCGTGTCGCATGTTATACTGATGGGCAGGCAGCTGTTGAAAAGTCAGCGCAAATTATAAATGCCGAGAAGTTTTCCTGAGTCTTTGGTCCTTAATTAGCTCATTAAAATAAAACTTCGAGAGTTGTATTATCCTTATGAAAATATAAACTGATGCGTTATGCAGTGAGACTTATGGTTTTGATAATGATTATACATACAATGAATCTAATTTTGAAATTGTAGGCCTATTTGAACGATTATTTTGACATGAGAATGAATTAATGTTGGACTGGATTCAGTGTTTTTGTGTACAATATTTACGCTTTAGGCCTAAAGTGTTGCTACTAGTTCTATATTAATCCGCCAAGTGGTCTGGCGCTATGATTTTTTAAACAATGGAGAGTTGATCGTATGAGTACTAGCAGCGTAACGGCTTCCAATTTACCATGTGCTTCGCGCGCATGAGTTCTGATGTGCTAGCCGATGACGATCAACAAAATAGTGATTTAAATGGTATCAGGTGAAGTCGTATCGAGCAGAAAAACACTTGGATCATGTTTCTGTAATTTACGGTGTAGCAAATGGTGTGAAGCAGCTGTAACCTATCTGGTGAAGTGTCATCAGTACGTCCATAAAACCGTAGCGTGGTAAACAAGGCCCCGCCCCTGGCCCCTTATGCCACGAGATATCGCCACACAACAAAAATACACTGATAAACAACCACAACAAACTTAACGCGAGTTTTAACCCAAGCTCTTTGTCATATTAAACAAAACAATTGAATTAAACATCTAGTTGTTTTAAATATGACACACAAACCATTAACGAGTAAAAAATAATTATAGGCTACCACTTCAAGAAAATCGGAATGAAAAAATTTAGGTAGGCTTCAAATAGAGAGTATCTAGTCCAAATCGTTTTTAGCAACTAAACAGCTAACTGTATTATTGGCTATGGGCTTGTATGTAGAAGCGCACAATTTTATGGACCATACCTTGAGTTATTGATTATTTTAAACCATGAATTAAACAAAATGTCATTTAAAAGACCAAAAGTCAGCACTGCGTACTCTCTGGCGTGCTGTCAAATATTCTATTCAAATTTTGCTCCATAGGAAAGACAATGCGGCTTTAGCCTTTACGTCTATTCAGTGTCACTAAAGCGATCAAACACGGACTTTTAAAACCTACAGCTAACTACAGATTTAGCTATAGAGCAGCAGGTATCCAGGTATCGATTGTACACGTCTAAACTTTCTACTCAAGGCTGGTTTAATTTCCTGTAAGTGTCAGTGTAACTGATTAAAATCAGATGGACACTGTCTGTGTAAATCACTAGGGGGACGCAGTCTGTGTAAATCACTAGGGGGACACAGTCTGTGTAAATCACTGGGTGGATTCTGTGTAAATCACAAGGGGAACACAGTCTGTGTAAATCACTAGGGGAACACAGGCTGTGTAAATCACAAGGGGAACACAGTCTGTGTAAATCACAAGGGGAACACAGTCTGTGTAAATCACAAGGGGAACACAGTCTGTGTAAATCACTAGGTGAACACAGTCTGTGTAAATCACTGATTAAAGCAGTCTGTGTAAATCACTGATGGAAGCAGTCTGTGTAAATCACAAGGGGAACACAGTCTGTGTAAATCACGAGAGGACGCAGTCTGTGTAAATTACTAGGATATGGTCGTCAGGTCAGGAATGCGTATAGCCTGGTTTGCTCTAAAATCAATTCAAGAAACTTGAATTTCAAATCCATACGTAATTGGCTTACATAATTAGTAGAACGTAAATGGGGCGGGATGGTAGAGCATGACTTTCAATCCGTCTTTTAATAAAGTGTTTGTGAAATACCTAGAGTTGGTAGACATCAAAGATATGCTTGTAACATGGGCATCATAGATGGGATATTAATAGGCAGACATCAAATATTTGATCGGCACATGGACACCAAAAATGTGACGTTTATTACATAGCTTAGTGAAACAGAGGCAGCTATTCAGAATCCTTAGGGTGAGATTTATTGAATCAATCAGCAACAGATCATTAATCGAACATCTGGGATTTTATTGCCTCTTATCGATTTCTTCTGATGACAGCTTGCTGTTTCAATTGATTTTTCAAAATCTACCAGTTTTTATATGGCATTAGGTCTGTTTAACATTTGAATCATTCACTTGGTTTTACATAGCTTTATGGCTGTAGTACATTTGATTCATTTACTGGGTTTTACATGGCTTTATGGCTGTATGACATTTGATTCATTCACTGGGTTTTACATGGCTTTATGGCTGTAGTACATCTGATTCATTCAGTCAACGAAACCACCGTCCCGTCGGTACTAACATCCGTGCCATTAATTTAATTAAACTCTGAAGTGATTGAGACAACTGGACGAGAAGTGAGAGGGGTTCGTCCAGAAATCAAGACACGTTATTTCAAGAACACCCCCCCCCCCCTACACCCTCATCGTAAAAAAAAGCCAGACATTGCCATATAAATGGCAATACAAATTTTCACCCAGCAAAAGCAACCACATTTATAAATCGAATCATCTCGCTTGCTGACATCACATGTAATTAGCCCTATGTCAAAAAAAAAGAAAATACTATCTATCAAGAACCATGGTTAATTAATTATTGCTAGATGAATGAGGAAATGATGTTGGACACAAAAGGCCTCAGACAGATGGCACAACCTGGACATGAGGGAACTTAACCAATCGTGTACGTGTAGCTAGTCACGTGACTTTGCCACGAGAAAACAAGCGTTAGCCTTTAAGCAGCCGGTCGATCACGGGTTATTGTAAATCGATTCAAAGCTTTATCGATTAGGCGTTTATTTAAATCACACACGGTAGCCGTTCACGTATCATAATTATGTCTGTGTCAGGTATGACATGGCACCAGGTCTAAACGATACAGACAGGAAACCAAATGGCACCAGGTCTAAACGGTACAGGCAGGAAACCAAATGGCACCAGGTCTAAACGATACAAACAGGAAACCAGGTCTAAACAATACAGACAGGAAACCAGGTCTAAACGATACAAACAGGAAACCAGGTCTAAACAATACAGGCAGGAAACCAGGTCTAAACGATACAGACAGGAAACCAGGTCTAAACGATACAGACAGGAAACCAGGTCTAAACGATACAGGCAGGAAACCAGGTCTAAACGATACAGGCAGGAAACTAGGTCTAAACGATAGAGACAGGAAACCAGGTCTAAACGTTACAGACAGGAAACCAGGTCTAAACGTTACAGACAGGAAACCAGGTCTAAACGATACAGACAGGAAACCAGGTCTAAACGATACAGACAGGAAACCAGGTCTAAACGATACAGACAGGAAACCAGGTCTAAACGATACAGACAGGAAACCAGGTCTAAACGATACAGACAGGAAACCAGGTCTAAACGTTACAGACAGGAAACCAGGTCTAAACGTTACAGACAGGAAACCAGGTCTAAACGATACAGACAGGAAACCAGGTCTAAACGATAGAGACAGGAAACCAGGTCTAAACGTTACAGACAGGAAACCAGGTCTAAACAATACAGACAGGAAACCAGGTCTAAACGATACAGACAGGAAACCAAATGGTACCAGGTCTAAACGATACAGACAGGAAACCAGGTCTAAACGATACAGACAGGTAACCAGGTCTAAACAATACAGGCAAGAAACCATTTGAGACCATATTTAAGAGATAAGCAGGGAGGAAGATGACTTGTGGATCTGTTGATGTATGGAAATGGCCCAGTGGATATCAGGATTTGATTATACATTTCGTCTTTTTTTATACTTCGTTAAGAATTAAACTTTGCATTCTTCATTTATACAATGATGTAGACCTAGTACCCTCCCCCCCCCCCATCACAAACCCCAAAAGTATTAAAACAAGTTAAAGTGTGCCCTAAAACATATAATGCAGAGTTGGCTAAGTGACTAGTACAAAACATCAGTTGAACATCCCATATGTAGATATACGAGTAAATATGTGATGTGTGAATACTTCTGGAGCGAGTTATATATATGGTGCGGTGATTGTGGTACAATGTGTAGTTAAATGTATATACCATGATTACAAACATACATGATAAAAAAATCGTAACACATGCACTAAATTAGTGAACATTAATATAACTAATATTAATTAATTGTTTACCAACCAATTCTTCAAAGAAGGGCTAAAATATTCAGTTGGATTAATGTAAAAACTCAATCAATCATTCAATAATTACACAAACAGGTTTCAAATATTTTGTTTTGTCTTAGACAATGATGAACGCAAATTAACAAATTAATGTAAAAACTCAATCAATCATTCAATAATTACACAAACAGGTTTCAAATATTTTGTTTTGTCTTAGACAATGATGAACGCAAATTAACAAATTAATGATTGCATAATGAAAACAAGTTGAAAAGTTGAAGTAGAGTTTGTATTTAGTGTTATGAGCCCAGTTTTTAGTCCTTTTAATGTTATGAGTCCAGTTTGTATTTAATTGTATGAGCACTTTAATTGAATAATAGTATTTTATTCTAACATCAGGAGTGTTCAAAGACCTAGCATGGGAATCTATATCATTTTCTTAGGTATTCTCATGTTAGCAGATAATTGAAGCAGGTAAGACAAAAACACTTACAGTTTTTAAAGGTGGGTGCATCAACTGGGGCTGATGAACATCTGACAAATCAAAACCATCTTCCAATCTTTTCACTTCAAAATAATATTTTCTGTGCAACAAGAGAACTTTGTTAAAAAAAAACCCAACAACTATTAATCACTGACAAAATCTGATCAATAAATTATCATAAGGAATTACATTGCAACAAAAAAGTCTTTAAATGTAAGATCATCCAATGATTATCTAATTTGAAGAAGAAATGATATAGCCCTATAAAACCATCAAACACTGTACCAGATACAAGAGTTTTGTATGCAAGTATGTAGACCTTAGTGCAGTGGTTCTTAACCTTTATTGAGGTACCGAGCCCCATGAGTTTCATATGCGCATTCACTGAACCCTTCTTAATAGTTTTGTCATCCCAACCTCACTGACAAAATCTTATCATAAAACATGAGTCTGGTGTGTATCTTGACCTCTGCTAAACCCCAAAGACTGCCTCACCAAAACCCAGGCTAAGAGCCACTGCTGTGGTTAATTTAAAAATAGACCTGCTAATGGAGTAACAAGTAGAAACACATTTTAAAAAAAACACATTCAGCCGAACAAAAAGTCCCAAAAGTTGACACTTAACTGAATCTAATATTAGCCTGTTTTAAAATGAAGGCCAATATTTGTATAAGAAAGAAAGTGATGCTGGTTGACAAATATTTACCAGAATTTTTGCAACAGAGAAAAATCACAAACCTCTTTATTGTTATTGTGCTGGCCATATAAATGAAAAATGGTATAAAAATAGAAAACAAATTGTGTTAAAAATTATATTTGATGTGTAGACTATATACCATTTAATATATTTATATGAAATACAACAAATCAAATGTAACTGATGAGTTCATTACAATATTTTAAAATATTTTTTTAGAAAATTATTAAATAGCAATTTTCTCATAAAATTTATTAAAATGAAATGATTTTTTGGCAAAAAATTAAGGAAATCATTATCTTTCAATTACAGTCAAAATAATTAAAATTATACTTTTGGAACTGGAGGTGAATTGGGCAGAAGAAACTGAGTTCACCAGATACTATGACCTGTACATATTAAAAGACAGTATGGTCAGTTCTGGTTCTTGCATCTTTATTTTCCTTATCATAAATCAGTTAACAAACAAAGAAAAATGGACTCAGGGAGGTCTTACAGCCTCATAATATCTGGATCCAAACTTGAGTCTTATTGATTAGCATTCATATGCTCTACCCTCAGAGCATGCAACCCACATCAATTGATTATGTATGTTAGTAAAGTGAATAGAAAACCAAATAAAACATTTAATTTCCATTTTCTGATGATAAAACAAAATAAAAAAGATATATTTAAATTAAAGTGGCCAATATAATCTTTACTTATTGATTGGCCATAAGTAATAAAGATGGCTAACTTTGAAACTTTGAAAGGGATATGAACCCAATCATATTTTAAAAGACAGGTCATGATTGATTTATCCAACCATTTTTAGAAAGGCTCCCAAATCTTATTCTACAACAACATGCATAATATTGTGCTTGAAAAAAACAACAACCCATAAATATGGACTGGAGAACCACATTAACACATACGAATTGACTACATAGGAGATACATTTGTTACAGACTTTGCATCACACTGTGTTATGATTAGAAGCTAAAATTAAGTAATTAAATCTAGCTCTACAATTTTGTGTGGAATACCTAACAAAAAGTGCCTTGGGGTCGTCCATAAATGATGCCACACTCGTAGGGGGGGGGGGTGTCAGAAATTTTTGGACGATATGTGACGTCATTTATGAATGACCCTCTTACATATAACTAAATAAAATTGACTCTTTAAACAATGTTTTAAAAAAATATTTACTTATTACTAAGTTATTACATAGGATCTTGTTTAAATGATAGTTTACATTTATTTAAAAGCATTGTTACTATACCCATGATATGTGTTTATTGTTCCTACGTCCTTCATGTTGTTGTGAAGTAAATTTTAATTAAATATCCAACAGAATTTTCAACTTGACCGAACACTTTTTAAAATCATAGATTTGTTGTATGTATAGCAGTTGTAAAACTAGATCTACTACTGGACATCCCAAGTAAAAAAAGAAATTAAAGCCTTGGTTTGGATGTTTTAAATAAAATCAAGAAAGCCTAAGAATACTCATGAATACTGAAATTAAATAACTTTACTCATTTTACTCTGTTTACTAAACTACTAAGGAATAGTAAGAAGAAGTAAAGTAGTGGATCTAGATCTAAACGGTAAGAAGTGGTGAAAGAAAAATCACTTACAATTTCTTTGCAACGCTTTTAATAACTGAATTAGACGACATGTTAAATCTAACTGTCAGGTAGTTCTAAAAGTCATTGAATGCCATTCTAATAGTTTTCAATTGACTCTTTTATGCAAACAACAATGTATTGTAAGCGTATTCATTCAGCAAGAACCGACTAACGTTGATGTAAACAATGAAAAAATGCTTTGACGACACAGTATAAAAATAGTTCAAATTTTTGTCGCTTTCAGAAGAGTTTAATTAAAAATATTGCCACACTAAGTTGTCATTTTCCTATTCTAAAACTTAAAATTTATTATCATAGAATTTTAATAAATCATTTTATTGGCGAAGAGAAACTTATTTTACTGTTTGTATCAATCTGGTTTCTATGAGCGCGCATAAATACATTTCAAGGGAGAGTACTAAGAAATTTCAATACACCGCTAAGGTAGCCAAACTAACCAAAATATTTACTTTTTGCGTATACTAAAAACATCCTGATACTTAAACTGTAAAGGTAATGATTGATGATAGGTTTGTAATTAAATTTTTTTTGCTTTCTATATTGGCATATTTTTCTAAAAAAAAACAACAACAACACTGAACAAATATTACAAGATAGGGCCTAATCAATATTTTTAACTAAGGGAGGCTACTGTAAGTTGATATAGAAATTTCTCCACAATTAAAATGATTATGTCCCCTGGTTAATTTGGTAAATCTCATTCGCGTTTGTTGCAATATAATTGTTAAAAACCTACGTTTAAGTTATGAATTATATGCGTGTAATGGGATTTTCGCCACAAATGATGTTACAGATCTATAGGCTAACATTTTCCTCTTTTTTAGATCAATAACTTTAACTAGGGGCCCACTCTCTCTCTCCCTCTCTCTCTCTCTCTCTTTATTTATATACATATATATATATATATATATATATATATATATATATATATATGTATATATATATATATATATATATATATATATATATATATCGATGGTCTCGGTCGCAAACCGTCTAACTCCGAAAATGTAAATTTTACAGGAGAGACAAAAAACTGATTATTTCCTTCTCGATCGCTCTAATACAATTTTTTTTTAAAGATATCTCCGAAGAAACTCTATACCGACTATACTGTAGCGTTTTAAAATGGGTTTTGTTGATATTTACAAAATTATAGCAGGTTTAAAAAGATAGACGGTTTGCTCGGTCTAAAATTCTCGGTACAAACCGTCTATCTGTGCGCGCGCAGACTTAGCTGTTTTGAGCCGAGAATTTCGGGCTCAGCCGCGTTCGTTCGTTTTGTCCAATGAACGTGATTTAGTTATGTTTATGTTTTTAATTTATAATTAACACTTCATAATAATTAGATTATAGTTTTGGGCTCATATTTTAATTATGGGGTCAGTTTAATTTTTAGTAGAGATGTTTTAGTATGGCTTTATCGCTTTCGACTGTATTCATTATGTCCGTATTTAGCACTAGACTTGTTAACTGTTGAAGGTTATGCTTTATTTATTACATCTTTCTATTCTCACAATTTATTTTACTAAATCTGGTGGGTGATGGGTTTGTAGAATGATAATAGTAAAAACAGAAACCGTATTGTCAGATATATTATGAATGAGACATAACACACTAATCACATTAATACTGACTTAATGTTTACTTATTTTACAAAAATGTAACACAAAAAAATGTGTTTATTTTAAAAATTTATTCTTTGAATAAACGTCACATAAAGATAAATTAAAATGGCAACATATTTTTAAAATCATGGAAATCATCATAAAAAGGTGTGTTTATGACTTGTTTTTAGGTGCTCAAATATGACAGCTTTTATCTTTTTTTTCTGCTCTTGAACAACTTGATAGGGGCTACAGATGAGATCATAATCTTACGACCCTAGCTTAGCAATTGCAAGCTATCTGCTAATTCACTTTAAAGTAGATAGTAGCATAATGGTTGTACTGCAGTGCACGAATATCTGTCGCTTTGAATTCTTGATAGGTCTGACTGGTCTTTTGAGATCGGCTGGTCTCTTGTATGGTAAGGCTGGTCTTTTTGAGAGAGGTTGGTGTCTAATGTCTGTTATGTGAGGCTGGTCTATTGTATGTTACGACTGATCTGTTGAGAAAGGCTGGTGTCTTGTATGGTAAGACTGGTGTGTTGAGAGAGGCGTGTCTATTGTAGGGTAAGACTAATCTTTTGAGAGAGGCTGGACTCTTGTATGGTAAGAATGGTCTGTTGAGAGAGGCTGGTATCTTGGAGGGTAAGATTGGTCAATTGAGAGTGATTGGTCTTTTGTATATTACGACTGGTCTGCTGAGAGAGACTGGTCTCTTGTGAGTTACTGGTGCCTTAATGTTACGACTGGTCTGTTGTGAAAGGATGGTCTGTTGAGAGATACTGGTGTCTTAACGATTTGTCAGTTGACAGATGCTGGTGTCTTGTATGGTAAGACTGGTCTGTTGAGAGAGACTGATATGTTGAGAGGCTGGTCTGTTGAGAGAGGCTGATCTGTCGAGAGAGGCTGGTCTGTTGAGAGAGGCTGGTATGTTGAGAGAGGCTGGTCTGTTGAGAGAGGCTGGTCTGTTGATAGAGGCTGGTCTGTTGAGAGAGACTGGTCTGTTAAGAGAGGCTGGTCTGTTGAGAGAGGCTGGTCTGTTGAGAGAGGCTGGTCTGTTTATGTGGTAAGACTGGTATGTTGAGAGAGGCTGGTCTGTCGAGTGAGGCTGGTATGTTGATAGAGGCTGGTCTGTTAAGAGAGGCTGGTCTGTTGAGAGAGGCTGGTCTTTTGAGAGAGGCTGGTCTGTTATGTGGTAAGTCTGGTATGTTGAGAGAGGCTGGTCTGTCGAGTGAGGCTGGTCTGTTGAGAGAGGCTGGTCTGTTATGTGGTAAGACTGGTATGTTGAGAGAGGCTGGTCTGTTGAGAGAGGCTGATATGTTGAGAGGCTGGTCTGTTATGTGGTAAGACTGGTGTGTTGAGACAGGCTCGTCTGTTGAGAGAGGCTGATATGTTGAGAGGCTGGTCTGTTGAGAGAGGCTGGTCTGTTATGTGGTAAGACTGGTCTGTTGTGAGAGGCTGGTATGTTGAGAGAGGCTGGTATGTTGAGAGAGGCTGGTGTGTTGAGATAGGCTTGTCTGTTGAAAAAGTAATCATAAAAGCATTTACTAAAGACCACTAACCATGTCGTTGTACGCCAAACATTTTGTAACCTACCATATAAACATTTCTTAACACGTATCTAAACCCTCAATCTAAAGCTAGTAGTGAATTAACAATTATTAAATTTATTGCACATTCTTGTGGAAATATAATTCGAATTATATTGTTTTGATTGAAATTTATATTCTAGAATAAAGATCTAGTTTCAAAGCATTGTGTTAGCCTAAAAAATTGTAAACAAATCAGTTTGGTTATTGAAAATCTGGAAATAGGCTATATTAAACAAATACTATTTGTTTATTATTCTTTAAAATGATAAAATGTAATAGAATAGTTGAACATAATTAATCAAATATCCTTACCTATAAGTACTGTGACTGCTGTGCTGTAAAATTGTATGATTACGGCGTCTGACTGCGTTCCCGATCAAAAGTGTACTGACAAATATAGCGATATTCGTTTTGCGCCGAGATTTTTAGCGCTAGAAATAATAGGCGGTTTGTTCAAATGATTATATCTCAATAATCATTCTACAGATTTCTCTAATATTTTCAGGTGTTATGGGGAATCATATTGGCTTTTGATTTACGTAAAAAAAAGAAAATTGAATTTTTTTGAGTTAGACGGTTTGCGACCGAGACCATCGATATATATATATATATATGTATATATATATATATATATATATATATATATATATATATATATATATATATATATATATATATATATATATATATATATATATATATATATATATATATATATATATATATATATATATATATATATATATATAGCTGCATATCCGTGCTTCACCACGGTGAATCTTTTTAAACGTACCAACAGAAAAAACCAAACACAAATACAAAGGAAAACTAACTCCAACAAAAACAAAAACGCAAACAAAAACACAAACACAACGCAAACCGCAATCACAAATACTAAAAAAAGCACAAACTCAACACTAACGCTAACTCAAACAAAATCGCAAACACAACTCAAATGCAAAAGAAAAAACACAAACACAATACGGAAACACAAACGGAAACACAAATACAAACACAAACAAATCACAAACACAAACGAATCAAAAGTAAACACAAATGTAAACGCTTAATCAAATGGCTGTATGAAACAAATAACCGTGCATACACATGGTCTCACGCACTGCCGAACAACACGATGGTAAAGGTATTTATTTTGTATCTAAATTCTATTTTGTTCGGGGGGTGGGGCTACCTGCACCCCTACCCACCCTGACCCCCTGTTTTTGGACAGCTCTCATTATCTGAGCCTAGGTACGACAGAAGCCCTTGTTCCAGAGGGAAGAAAAATGATCTAAAGGACAGTTATGGCTCAGAATCGGGTCAAGACTACAACAGGCACATCTTACACAGACTATATTGAACCCCGCTAAACCAAACTATACATTTTCTAAATTTATTTGTAATTTCAGAATAAAGGTCAACCTTTCCAAGTTTCAATCAATGTTGTTTCTATACAAAGGTTGAACATGATTGTGTTATTCCAGTACCTTTATGTGTTAACTCTTACGTGGAAGTCTAGGTTCTAACGTGACAACCTAGGTTCTAACGTGACAATCTAGGTACTAATGTGACAATCTAGGTACTAACGTGACAAACTAGGTACTAACGTGACAATCTAGGTACTAACGTGAAAGTCTAGGTTCTAACGTGACAACCTAGGTTCTAACGTGACAACCTAGGTACTAACGTGACAAACTAGGTACTAATGTGACAAACTAGGTACTAATGTGACAATCTAGGTACTAACGTGAAAGTCTAGGTTCTAACGTGACAACCTAGGTTCTAACGTGACAACCTAGGTTCTAACGTGACAAACTAGGTACTAATGTGACAATCTAGGTACTAATGTGAAAGTCTAGGTTCTAACGTGACAAACTAGGTACTAATGTGACAATCTAGGTACT